AGACTATTTCCGAATACATTCTTTTGTCAAAAACTCATCTTTCTTATATTTAAAAATCAGATTTTTTATTTATTTTTTTCTAATGTTTCTGCTTCACCCTCACTCTTTCATGAAGACATTTCTATTCTCTTGCGCATTCTTTTCGTTCTACTTTTTTTACCTACTTTATTGCTTCTTATTGTCACAATAATACACAGTCATACGATCACTCTTCCTGGCTATACATTATTTGCGTTTCTTTTTAATTTTACGTCTTCAAAGTCGATTTTAATCGAATTCAGTGCAAGACATATTCAATCTTCAGATTGCTTCTATGCGAATTGCACGTATGTAGGTTGCCATTTGGATTCAGTTTTATTCATAAACTGCACGGAGACACCGATTTTATTTCCTTCATCTTACAATAAATTGAAATATTATAAAGTGAAATTAAGAGTAAAGATTTAGGTACGTGAGGTTCTTTTCGTTCAACTTATAGCTGTTTTCTTCGAGCTGCTATTTTCCTTTATTAACACGGGCGATATCAATGAGAAAATATTTATTAAAAGAAAACGTGTCGACCAGTCTTGTTTTTCGCTATTGATAAGATAAAATATGAAGGCCGACTGAAAAATCTGTAATAAAAATTCAAATATAAAAAAGAACCATGCCCTTGGATATCTGTTTGTAACGCTGGATTTTACTCGAGTTTTTCAGCGGATTTTAAATAATAATTTTATTATTCAACTAAGTTTTATTCTTTTTTTCAGAAGAAAAACGTTTCTATAATAGAAATTGCAATGAATTTCAATCAACATCGAATGATGATCATTACCAGCAATGAAAAAATTATGGAACAAATGCGTACGAACAATAATCCATCATCGCTTGAAACATTTATTTTTGAATGCGACAGAAATAATAATGGGCTGGTAATAACTAAAACCTTTTATTCTAATACAGAAAAATAAATCATCTATAATGTTTACAGTCGCATGACACTGATCAATCGACTTATCATAGAAAAGCAAAGCATATTCCTTTGCAGTGTGTTGTTTGCGGTTCAACCGCGATAGGCCGTAATTTTGGCGTCATCTCATGTGAAAGTTGCAAAATATTTTTTCGTCGTAATGCACTCAAAAGTTTAGTACGTCAAAAGAAAGGTTATTCTTGTTAGAAAATATTTATTTAATCGGCGTTTTATAGGGAATGTTTTACTGTCGTCACAACAATACATGTGAAATAACACAATTGACACGACGACGCTGTTCATCATGTCGTTTGGCTAAATGCCTGGTTTATGGAATGAAACGAGATCGACTTCTCAGAGTAATATTTTAACACATAAATACATTGAAAAAAATATTTTCAAAACTTTAGGCTGAAGAAAAAATTGCATGTCGTCATAAAATTCAACAAAACACAAGTTCTATAGTACAATCAAACCATGACCAAACAGCCCAATGGCGTCCATCAATATATACCAATCATGTAAGTAATAATTCATTTTATATTAATTTACTAAAGTTTTCTTCTCAGCAATACAAATCCAGTGGTACTAATAGAACATCTACGCAATGTCTACCACCACATCCATCATTTTCATCCAATGGAATAATGCTAACTTCAGCAGATTTACAACGTATAGAAGAAATTGAAATTGCATTTGAACAACGTATTGAAATCGGTTAGTAAATTGTTTTAAACAATTTGCTATTCCAAAGAATCAATGGATATTACATCACAACACATAATTTTACTCAGTCATCATGACCTTTGCCTAAGCACAAAGTATTCACGTAATATTTGTCACTCGACTTGCCTTGCTTATTTTTAAACAGACGCATAAAAACTTGATGTCTGAGTGTACCGAGAATAGAACATCAGTTTATATTTTTCCGAAAATTCGAGAGAAAAATGTGTAGATTGCAGTAACTTCATTTTCATCAACGAGATTATATTTGCTGATTGTCAGTCAAGCAAGTGCACATACGTATGTCTGTACACTTGAATAATGTTAGTAAGCATGATAGTTAATTTCGCCTCTATTTTGAGTGCACAGTTAGTCCTAATATGTAATAGAGAATTGAAGATTCAATTCATCGTGTTTACTCCAAGCATTGTTTGACATCTGTTTTTGTGTACTCAAAAAAAGTGAGTACACTAGATTCGGTCAGTGTGTCCGCCCTGCGTTAACACGATAACCTTTGAAAGCCTCATCCAATTGTCATGAAATTTTGTACACAGAATGATCTCATCAATATCTCAGTCAAGTTCGAAGATGAGAAGGATCCGTCAAGAAATGGCTGAGTTATTGAAAAAATTGTCATTATTGACCAGACCATCCCTGAGGGGAGGTACAGGGATTTTTGTCTCAGAATCACTCACAACATATATAAATCGATTCACTTTTTGCAGTGCACATAACAATCGGATGCGAATCCGATGTTTCCGCATTATTTGAATTTCCTTTTGGCTGAAATCAACTAATTGTTTGCTACGTAATTTTGATAGAAAGGAAACAAAAATTTTAATAAAACTGTAATTTATTTAAGGCAAAAATAATTTCACCAATAGCCTTGTTCGAATTTCTGTAGCCTAATAAAAACCGGAATCTTTTTTCAATCTAACCGCGAATTCATTTAATATGTTTAGCTGTTTATGATACTTCTCAATTAAACTCACGTGTTGATGTAACAACATTTTCACACCATTTAAATTCTTATTCAATACCAGCCATGCGTCTTTTGACATTTTTCAAACAAATTCCCGAATTCAATGAATTACACGTTGATGACAAACTCATTTTAACTAAATACAATCTACTGTCAGTCTTCATTCTTCATAGTGCACTTTTATTCGCCATCGATACTAAACAAATTCGAGAGAGTGAGCACGATGTACCTTGGAATTTATCTTTATTACGAACAATTCACGGAGAAGAAATTTATTCAGAAATGAGAAAAATCTTCAGTTCACTTGTACATATTAGACAATACGATTGTAAAATAATACAATTGGTACTTATCGTACTTTTTTTAACCAAAGGTATTTCAACAGATGATGGCGTACGCGAATCGATACTTCGAAATCATATGGCTCTTTCTCGTGCACAAAATTATTACATAGAATTATTATGGAAATATATGGTAACAATGCATGGACTTCAACGAGCTGTTCGGATATTTAATGTTGTAGTTGCTCGATTTTTAGCATGGCAAAAATTGAGAGACAAACTGCAAGATAATATAAAACATCATTTATCAAAAATAGACCGAAACGAACTTTTACCGTTGATGAAATCATTGTTACATATTTCTTGATTTTTCTTTAACAGATCTCTTTGTGTTTTTTAAATAAATGATGTTTGTATATGGATGGTCTTTGTTTCTTATAAGATTTTTGTGAGAAAATGATTGATAAATTTTCATTCATATTTATTTTTAATGAATAGAAGAGCATTTTTATGGTAAAATAAATGAATTAGCACTTTGACAGAAAGTCTTTCTAACGACGATTTTTTATAATCGGAATTTCTATCCTACGAAAATTGTGTATTACCAACGTTATCGTGAATTTAGAGTATGAATATAAGTAGCCAAAAATAGAAATCTGCCAAGATCTATTGTATGAGAAGAAATAAATCGAAATAAACGTGACTATTAATAATGGTTAATAGACCGAGTAATGAGAAAATGTCGTACTTTGAATTCGTAGGTGTGCAAATATCATTATACGATAGAGAATGAAAATACGAAGAACAAAATTACGAGTCAATCGGTATATATAGATCTGCATAGACACAATCGAACATTATTTCTACGGTATTAAATGATTGAACTGTTTTATTTTTATAGAAAAGTTAGTTTCTCTTTTTCGTTCAAAAAAAAAATATATATATATAAGGTGCTCGTCATTCAAACTTTCCGCAAGTTTTATTTTTCGTTTAAACACATATGGTTGGATTCATTGCGTGACGCTGATCACAAATCTGATTTAGCTTCTTCTTTCTTTTAAATTTTTTCGTGAGCAAAAATGCAAAAAGATTTAAAAAATGTGAAAAATTTATCTTTTTAAAATCTAGGGAAACAACTTTTTTTCTTTTCTTTTATGCAGATTTTTCAGGTGATATTCAGATTTTTCGTATGAAGCTGATTCTGGAAATCTTAACTAGTTAAGATTTCCAGAATCAGCTTCATACGAAAAATCTGAATATCACCTGAAAAATCTGCATAAAAGAAAAGAAAAAAAGTTGTTTCCCTAGATTTTAAAAAGATAAATTTTTCACATTTTTTAAATCTTTTTGCATTTTTGCTCACGAAAAAATTTAAAAGAAAGAAGAAGCTAAATCAGATTTGTGATCAGCGTCACGCAATGAATCCAACCATATGTGTTTAAACGAAAAATAAAACTTGCGGAAAGTTTGAATGACGAGCACCTTATATATATATATTTTTTTTTTGAACGAAAAAGAGAAACTAACTTTTCTATAAAAATAAAACAGTTCAATCATTTAATACCGTAGAAATAATGTTCGATTGTGTCTATGCAGATCTATATATACCGATTGACTCGTAATTTTGTTCTTCGTATTTTCATTCTCTATCGTATAATGATATTTGCACACCTACGAATTCAAAGTACGACATTTTCTCATTACTCGGTCTATTAACCATTATTAATAGTCACGTTTATTTCGATTTATTTCTTCTCATACAATAGATCTTGGCAGATTTCTATTTTTGGCTACTTATATTCATACTCTAAATTCACGATAACGTTGGTAATACACAATTTTCGTAGGATAGAAATTCCGATTATAAAAAATCGTCGTTAGAAAGACTTTCTGTCAAAGTGCTAATTCATTTATTTTACCATAAAAATGCTCTTCTATTCATTAAAAATAAATATGAATGAAAATTTATCAATCATTTTCTCACAAAAATCTTATAAGAAACAAAGACCATCCATATACAAACATCATTTATTTAAAAAACACAAAGAGATCTGTTAAAGAAAAATCAAGAAATATGTAACAATGATTTCATCAACGGTAAAAGTTCGTTTCGGTCTATTTTTGATAAATGATGTTTTATATTATCTTGCAGTTTGTCTCTCAATTTTTGCCATGCTAAAAATCGAGCAACTACAACATTAAATATCCGAACAGCTCGTTGAAGTCCATGCATTGTTACCATATATTTCCATAATAATTCTATGTAATAATTTTGTGCACGAGAAAGAGCCATATGATTTCGAAGTATCGATTCGCGTACGCCATCATCTGTTGAAATACCTTTGGTTAAAAAAAGTACGATAAGTACCAATTGTATTATTTTACAATCGTATTGTCTAATATGTACAAGTGAACTGAAGATTTTTCTCATTTCTGAATAAATTTCTTCTCCGTGAATTGTTCGTAATAAAGATAAATTCCAAGGTACATCGTGCTCACTCTCTCGAATTTGTTTAGTATCGATGGCGAATAAAAGTGCACTATGAAGAATGAAGACTGACAGTAGATTGTATTTAGTTAAAATGAGTTTGTCATCAACGTGTAATTCATTGAATTCGGGAATTTGTTTGAAAAATGTCAAAAGACGCATGGCTGGTATTGAATAAGAATTTAAATGGTGTGAAAATGTTGTTACATCAACACGTGAGTTTAATTGAGAAGTATCATAAACAGCTAAACATATTAAATGAATTCGCGGTTAGATTGAAAAAAGATTCCGGTTTTTATTAGGCTACAGAAATTCGAACAAGGCTATTGGTGAAATTATTTTTGCCTTAAATAAATTACAGTTTTATTAAAATTTTTGTTTCCTTTCTATCAAAATTACGTAGCAAACAATTAGTTGATTTCAGCCAAAAGGAAATTCAAATAATGCGGAAACATCGGATTCGCATCCGATTGTTATGTGCACTGCAAAAAGTGAATCGATTTATATATGTTGTGAGTGATTCTGAGACAAAAATCCCTGTACCTCCCCTCAGGGATGGTCTGGTCAATAATGACAATTTTTTCAATAACTCAGCCATTTCTTGACGGATCCTTCTCATCTTCGAACTTGACTGAGATATTGATGAGATCATTCTGTGTACAAAATTTCATGACAATTGGATGAGGCTTTCAAAGGTTATCGTGTTAACGCAGGGCGGACACACTGACCGAATCTAGTGTACTCACTTTTTTTGAGTACACAAAAACAGATGTCAAACAATGCTTGGAGTAAACACGATGAATTGAATCTTCAATTCTCTATTACATATTAGGACTAACTGTGCACTCAAAATAGAGGCGAAATTAACTATCATGCTTACTAACATTATTCAAGTGTACAGACATACGTATGTGCACTTGCTTGACTGACAATCAGCAAATATAATCTCGTTGATGAAAATGAAGTTACTGCAATCTACACATTTTTCTCTCGAATTTTCGGAAAAATATAAACTGATGTTCTATTCTCGGTACACTCAGACATCAAGTTTTTATGCGTCTGTTTAAAAATAAGCAAGGCAAGTCGAGTGACAAATATTACGTGAATACTTTGTGCTTAGGCAAAGGTCATGATGACTGAGTAAAATTATGTGTTGTGATGTAATATCCATTGATTCTTTGGAATAGCAAATTGTTTAAAACAATTTACTAACCGATTTCAATACGTTGTTCAAATGCAATTTCAATTTCTTCTATACGTTGTAAATCTGCTGAAGTTAGCATTATTCCATTGGATGAAAATGATGGATGTGGTGGTAGACATTGCGTAGATGTTCTATTAGTACCACTGGATTTGTATTGCTGAGAAGAAAACTTTAGTAAATTAATATAAAATGAATTATTACTTACATGATTGGTATATATTGATGGACGCCATTGGGCTGTTTGGTCATGGTTTGATTGTACTATAGAACTTGTGTTTTGTTGAATTTTATGACGACATGCAATTTTTTCTTCAGCCTAAAGTTTTGAAAATATTTTTTTCAATGTATTTATGTGTTAAAATATTACTCTGAGAAGTCGATCTCGTTTCATTCCATAAACCAGGCATTTAGCCAAACGACATGATGAACAGCGTCGTCGTGTCAATTGTGTTATTTCACATGTATTGTTGTGACGACAGTAAAACATTCCCTATAAAACGCCGATTAAATAAATATTTTCTAACAAGAATAACCTTTCTTTTGACGTACTAAACTTTTGAGTGCATTACGACGAAAAAATATTTTGCAACTTTCACATGAGATGACGCCAAAATTACGGCCTATCGCGGTTGAACCGCAAACAACACACTGCAAAGGAATATGCTTTGCTTTTCTATGATAAGTCGATTGATCAGTGTCATGCGACTGTAAACATTATAGATGATTTATTTTTCTGTATTAGAATAAAAGGTTTTAGTTATTACCAGCCCATTATTATTTCTGTCGCATTCAAAAATAAATGTTTCAAGCGATGATGGATTATTGTTCGTACGCATTTGTTCCATAATTTTTTCATTGCTGGTAATGATCATCATTCGATGTTGATTGAAATTCATTGCAATTTCTATTATAGAAACGTTTTTCTTCTGAAAAAAAGAATAAAACTTAGTTGAATAATAAAATTATTATTTAAAATCCGCTGAAAAACTCGAGTAAAATCCAGCGTTACAAACAGATATCCAAGGGCATGGTTCTTTTTTATATTTGAATTTTTATTACAGATTTTTCAGTCGGCCTTCATATTTTATCTTATCAATAGCGAAAAACAAGACTGGTCGACACGTTTTCTTTTAATAAATATTTTCTCATTGATATCGCCCGTGTTAATAAAGGAAAATAGCAGCTCGAAGAAAACAGCTATAAGTTGAACGAAAAGAACCTCACGTACCTAAATCTTTACTCTTAATTTCACTTTATAATATTTCAATTTATTGTAAGATGAAGGAAATAAAATCGGTGTCTCCGTGCAGTTTATGAATAAAACTGAATCCAAATGGCAACCTACATACGTGCAATTCGCATAGAAGCAATCTGAAGATTGAATATGTCTTGCACTGAATTCGATTAAAATCGACTTTGAAGACGTAAAATTAAAAAGAAACGCAAATAATGTATAGCCAGGAAGAGTGATCGTATGACTGTGTATTATTGTGACAATAAGAAGCAATAAAGTAGGTAAAAAAAGTAGAACGAAAAGAATGCGCAAGAGAATAGAAATGTCTTCATGAAAGAGTGAGGGTGAAGCAGAAACATTAGAAAAAAATAAATAAAAAATCTGATTTTTAAATATAAGAAAGATGAGTTTTTGACAAAAGAATGTATTCGGAAATAGTCTGCCAAAACAAAAGAAGTCAATCATGAAAGTTTTCAAGCAAGAAGGAATCTGTACTGTATAAATCCTGTTTGGAATCTTTCGGCTGACATCAGTTTTATTTTTCTCACATCGGATAAAATCTCAAGCAAATGCAGAATCTTTTTAGTTCTGTCGCAGTAAGCCTGAAAAGAAAACCAATTGATATCGTTTGCCGCCCTCGTCATAGTCATAAGGCCACGCAAACGACAGTATTTTCATTGGTCTTCAGGATCTCTCTTTGATGCAGTTTAGCGCACAGCATCTATGTCGATCGATTCAGGCAGCTTTCTAACTTTCTCAATGTACTCATCAATGGTTTGTGTTCCAATACAAACATTCGTTAAAATATAAAATTCAAATTTATGAGGTACCTGTACATGAGTTCGCCACGATTTTTGTTATTTTGAAATTGATGCAACTCTCTGCGACATGGAAAAATATCCACTCAGTCGACATTATTCGCTTTTGAGTCTTTATTGTTAACTTAAGTTTTTTCAAGAGGGAGACCAATAAAAACAGAAGGTAAATGTTTGGAGACTGAGACGCTTAATCGACATACTAAATGCTTCATACAGAGAACCCTGGTCAACATCAATGTGAAATCTTCTGGTTTTGGTCACCGCGGGATTTCAATCGTCTAATTAGTAGGCGATCATTTTTTTTTGAACCTAACCAGAACATCAAAACGAAACTTAATTCATATCTTTCATGATAAAAACGATTATTATGGTTTTATGACGCGTCAACTTCATGAAAATTGACATTCGAACTATGATATCGTAATTTTTCATAGTAGTAAAACTGCAAGGCTATCTAAACCTATAGATTCATATCACCAATAGGTAACCTACTAGTACAAAAATCACCTCGGGAAAGATGAACCTGTCAATATTAGATCACTTGAATCTTTTGAAATATAAATAACCAAAAAACGAAAAGTAGCATTTTCATTCTATGTAAACAAGGCGCGTCTGACAACAGGCAACACCCATAATTATAAAAAATAAAAATCAAATCAAATATACATAAGAATACAAGTGTTGCAACTATAATTAGCTTCCAACGGCGCGTTTCGTTTGTTTTCAATCAGCTTCTATTAGTAAGCAACGGCTTCACCTTATAAAAATAGTTTTAAATTATATCAAAATCAGCATGAAAAAAGAAATACGCCCTTCGATGCACGGTCTGCCACAATTCAAACAGCGCTTGATTATCTAAAGCTCAAAATAGATTTGATTTACAATTATAGCCCTGATGCATAATAGGCACCTGTGTCTAACGTAAAATAGGATTCGGCGTCATTATATTCTTGAGCATGTTGGAAAACAAAACATCCGGTGCGTTTGATGTATCTATGAGAAAAATAAGGCTATCGTGTAAGCGGTCAGTAGAATAAGTGTATGATCAGTACATTATTTGTGTGGTCAGTTATTAATATACTTCGATTTCTTGATATATTTAAAAATCAGTAAACTAGATTAAAGGATCAGTATAAAAATTGAAATGTGTTATCAGGTGATTTACTTTTTTTTCATGCTTGTTCTTTTGGTCTATATATCGTACAGCTGACAAATACAACATATATAAATGTACTCTTAGCTTCTTTCTGTCACATTCACCTTAGTACCAACGAGTAAACAAGACGGAAGTCGTACAAGTTGTTCAATATGAAAGTGATATATCAGACAAAGAGGTTCTGGATCCAGGTGAATGAATCCTATATCGGATCCAACCAGCCTATAAAATCCGATGGGATTCCGGATCACGGAACCACTAACGGATTCGACGGAAAAAAGCATTTAATTAATTGACCACTAATTAGTACGTCAAGTCAACATTAGCGGGT